ATTTATTTATTTAAATAATTAAGAAAATTATGAAATGCAAATAAAAGATAAAATGTCACAAAATGACCTCTAATTAAAGTTAATCACTTTAGACATGTCCCATAAAAATTTCAAAGTCAAAAAACTTATTTTTGATACAAAAATATATTTTTTAATAAGATGATAATTTTTTTTCTTAAAATAATTTTAAAAAATAAAATATAAATAAAAAAAATGTGAAATTAAGTTTGATGAATTCCAAAATAATTGTTCCCACTTGGTCTATGCCCACTTGATTTTTTTATTTCCAAACTTGAAAACTAAACTTTAAATCCTTGAAGACAAAACCTTTGATCATTATCGAGAGTTTTCTTATGTGACTTTGGTCATTTAAGATGTAATTAAATATATGAACTTGCCCTTATAGGAAATTAAAAATCTAGGTAATATAAACCACATCTAATCTTCAATATTAGGTAGAAGAACCTAACAATTACATAAAAAGTTCACAGACCAAACATATGTCAGAGATTATTTAGTTTATATAGTTGAGCTCACCGCCAAACATTATGTCTATCTTCTGGGACAACACATTTTTTGTGATGTCGTGATTGCTTACTCAATGTATTAAATATATGAGATCTATTCGTTCACATTTTTCTAAAAAAAAAATAAAATATTATTTTCAGAACCAAAATTATATATGTATATTAAATTAAATTATTTTCAAAGACAACTGACAAAATTCTCATCCGACAACTTCCAATACAATACATGAAACCCAAAAAGATAATTTCCAAAAAAAGTTGGCTGACACATCATTAACTAAATCTTTCCAAAAGGGAGGGAGCATAAAATGACAAGAGTTATTCCAAATCGAACAATAATGATCAAAACATAATTTAGATAACAGAGAATTAGAATTATAGAATTTTCAAATAATTTTAAACTTTCACATTGTATTAAATGTATCTAAAGAAGGAAGCCCAAGACCACCATAACGTTTAGGGTTATTAACTTTATCCCAAGCAATAGTATGAATTTATTTCCTATAATTATTATTATGAAAAAAATTAGAGATCATAGAAAAAAATCTTTCCTTAACCCTTTAGGCAAAATCTTTGAATGAAACAAGTAATATAAATAACTCCTGATATGCCACCAACAAATTTTCATCAGCCAGCACGAATCTCAGTGAATTTTTTTGAACAAGAGACATTCAAACTTTGATTAAGAGTCATCTGGAGCTCCGATTTTAAAAATTATATTCAAACTGACCGGCTCGATGAGACAGACCCAATGATATAAAAACTAGTCCAATTTGAGTGAGATCAAGCCCAGAT